GCCCCTTTTTGTGCTCAGGTCGTTAATCATAATAACAAATAAAACTGGACCCAGTTTTGTGCCTTGTGGTACACCAGCATTAATGCATTGCCAGTCTGATTTCAAACTACCTATCTTCACACTTTGTTTCCTCTCAGTTAGGAAGCTGTAAATCCAGTTTGAAATAATTCCTGGGATACCTAATTCAGACAGTTTTTGATAAAGCAGGATGTGGTCTATTCTATCGAATACTTTGGTATAATCAACCCAAAGCATTCAGGCATATTGTCCTAGAGTGTCAGTCTGCCTTGCAATAAGGTCTATGGCTTCGATCAGTGAGTATGTCGTACAAGTCCCTTTCATGCTGCCGAACTGCCTAAGGTCTTATTGGTCACAATGTCCCAAATCCATTTAACAATAAAACCATTCAATAATTTAGAGAGCGCCGGAGTTAGAAATATGGGTCTAATGTCTGTTTCTGTGGTGTTTGGAGGAGTGTACTTAGGTAGTGGTAATACATATGCATGTTTCCAGAGTGGTGGGACATATCCTTCACGAACTGATTAGTTGAATATAGCACATACTGGGGCGGCTATGTACTCTGCTTGGTCATGTAGGATCTAGTTGGGAATTTCGTCGGGAGCTGTAGACTTGTGTACGTTTACTTAAAAATTGCGTTAAATTACTATACGAGGAAACAATTTGGTCGTCATCATCATCAAGTCTGCATTGTCAATAATACTTCTTTCTCTTCACGAAAGTCCTTAAAAATGCTGACTAGGGAAGATCATTGAACTCTATCCATTCCGGGTACGCCACAGATCAAACTTGAATTAAGTCAATAGCTGACCCGATATGGCGCCATGCATGTCATACTGCCCTTTCATCGAAAATTGCTATCTTCACGGTGGGATAATCAGGAAAAAAATCCTTTCTTATAAAAGTCACGTTGTTGCTATTACTTTACCCATGCATGCATTCTTTATGGTCTTTCCCTCTTGGTCCCTGTTTTGCAAAGCTGTTCGTATGGTCATACAGTGCCCGGGGCAATTCCACAGTCGATATCTCAAATACAAAGACTACTCAAAAGTAAAACCGCCAAGGTATGAACCGCGTTGGATCTCAACGTGCTCTATAACGCCACAGGTGAAGTCAAACGTAACCTCAATGAAAATAAAATCATCTAGCTGGGAACAATATAACAATATGAAACTGAATGCAAAAAAAAAAAAAAAAAAAAGTGCATGACCCTTAATTTTACACGTTCCACACCAGACCTCCCACTAATAGTTATAAATGACACGCCAATCTGTGAGGTTTCACAGTTCAAACTTCTGGGCATCCATATTAGCAATGACCGAAAATGGGGTACTTATGTGGATCATATATATATATTAAAAGGCATGTGCAAGACTCCATTTCCTCCGTCAACTCAGTCCTGCTGACTTGATTCAAGTTTACCAAATTATTGTGGGCTCAATTCTAGAATATGCCTGCCCTGTGTGGCATCCAGGACTAACTATAGAGCAATGCAAACTCTTAGAGACAGTCTTTTAGCTCAGTTTCATTCAAGCAGATATCATTTTATTATTATTATCATGTTCTTTACATTCTATGTACAACATCAACCCTCTGGGTTGCAATCTTAATAAATTACTATTATTATTATTAAAAAAGAACATTGCTGCAGGATCCAAGGGGAGGGGGCGACATAGTGGGTGGTTCCAAAGGGTTAAGATGTTAATCTGTTAGACTGATTGCATTCAGCGATCTTTGCGTGTCTACGCGCGTCCTTCAAACTCCGGCATGCCCAGATTTGCATTTGCTGCAGTGTACAAATCTTCATTTTGAGATTTTCGAGTTTTTTTTTTTTTTTTTTTTTTTTTTGGTGGGGGGAGGGGTGAGGCCACATAGATATTATGAATCCATTCAGCTTCAGGGTCTCGAACTCTTTTGTATAAGCCCTTTTTATCGCAGATTGTGTTTTTCTCATTGCATCTGACACAAAGACCGCTGCCACGGTTGTAGTACATCTAACACAATGACTGCCGCTACGGTTGTAACACATCAAACACATTGTCTGCCGCCACGGGTGTAGCACATCTAACACAATGAATGCCGCCACGGTTAAAACACATCTAACGCAATGACCACCGCATGTTTCAAAGATAAAGAAAGTATAGATTTATTTAATTGTGCCTCAATTTATTTCCAATTTATTGTTTAAATTCTTAAATTAAAACTTTAGATAAATAAATTTAATGTATTTATTCGGAAGAGCGCGTGTGCTTTTTGTACTTGTGATTCAACTTTTAATCAATTAATTAATTAATTAAATCCCCAGTAAAATCCTCATGTTGGTTCTCAAGTATAAACAAACTACATATGTTTGATAGCATTTAATAGCGTTTAATAAAGCTTTTAAAAGCGAAAGTACAGTGAAAGGAAAAGGAAAGAAATATTAAGTAATTATTCCAAAAAAAAAAAAAAAAAAAAAAAAAAGGATTTGCTCACTACATCAAAATATATGTACCTCTTATTACAAAACGAAAAATTTAACCTCCACATGTACATAAATATCCCCCCCCCCCGCCATAATCCCACTTGAGTACACAAAATACATCAACTCTGTCAATCTTCAAAATCAATACATCAATCTTAAATACATAAAACTATGACAAAATTCAAGAATAATTAGCATAGAACCGAAATAGTAGCTTGCACCCCGACAAATTACAGATTTATTGTCCATGTCCGTGTGTCCATTCTTCATTATATTTGATTCTCCAATGGGCGTTGACCAAAAAGACAAGTAGGTCAAAAAAAGTTTTTCTCAAATTTAGTAATGTATGGATAGAAACATTTTCTGCTGATGATAATAACAAAAGATTAAGTGCCCCATGTCGATAAAGTTCCGTGTCCTTATCAAGGAATGTGAAACAAAGTGACGTCCAGTGCTCCTCTTGCTCCGCATCAGTGACCGGTTAGAAGGGAAAAAAAACTTATGCAAAAGTAACAGTGTTCTCTCTCTTTCTGACCACTGGTCATCCCGTTGGGTAATCAGTCATAACCTGGAAAAAAAGAGAAGTGACACAATTTAAACATTTTGGTCTTTTTAAGATTTCAGTAAATACAAAGTACATTATTTTGTTATGGGAATTGAAAACAAGGCAGCAAAGCTGTCAAATGTACAGACAAAAAACAGAAAATAATGATGCAAAATAAGGTCATTTNCATAAAAAGGGGACAAAACAGTTGGGTATGAACTAGCCAGTGCCACATTTATTCCTATAATTGCTGCAGTTTTGCCGGTGTAACACTTACGTTTACGGATTAGGCCACCTGTAGAAAGGTTTTTGTGTAACCTGTGTCCAACCCTCGAGGAAAGGTGTGTCGGTCCAATCACGTCCGTCAAAATCTCCGCATATTCCGTCCACCCACTGACACCATACGCGAGGTATGTTAATCTGCAGACAGTGTCTGGCCACGAAGATCTTAATGTTGAGCATTTTTCACCACCAAACTGACAGAAACTACTCTAGGTTCTAGATTTCAGCTTTGCCAGCTCAATCTCGATTTCATATATAACTCTATCAACAAAACTGGCTCTAGCCACTACCGTCAACCTTGAGGCGTTCTTCGGCAAAATTCTGCCTGGAGCGCTTCCATATTTGGAAGTCACAAGTCTCTTATGTCACACAGCTGTATCCGCTTGCAGCTCCATATTTGGAAGTCACAAGTCTCTTATGTCACACAGCTGTATCCGCTTGGAGCTCCATATTTGGAAGGGGGAAAGAAGGGGGGAAAGAAGGGGGAAAGGGGAAAAAAACCAACACTGGTTCAAGTCCTAGAAATGTAATTCTTTTTTTTTTTTTCTTTCAATTTTTGAATTTTTCGATTATTTTTTGTTTTTAATACACATCATTTATAAATATTTCTCAAGATTAAAAGAATAAGATATATAAAAAAAAAAAAAAACATACATACATACATACATACAAAGGAAAAAATAGATATGATTAATGCATCTTTGTAATCTTTTTTCTTTCACTTTTGAAATTTCTCAATTTTTCCCAACACCGCCGTCTTAGACACAGGCAACTGCTTGTTCGCCGGTGCGAGCTCTAGAGCGCGACTAAAATTTCGTTCAGCAGAAGAATATTGTATCTCCTGGGCGGAATTATTTGCTTGTCAAAATTTGCCTCGTCTCAATTGCTACAATGAAAAGTGCACCAGTCTTTACACATTTGACATTTTTAACGCTTAATTCCCTCTTCTCAGAGGCTTGCTTAACCTAAAACCGTCCCGGTGAGAACCGCCTTTGATACCATTGTGCTATTTAACATCATATATAGGTAAAGCGAACACTTTCCAGCTTCTCAGACAAGGGCTAGTGAACATGATTAACATCAACGTTCATAAGAAGACCATGTTTGTGGACTGGTGTGGCTCGGGGACAAATGCGACAACGTGGCTTTCGATTGTTATTACGTGTATATCCAAATTGGACTGCTCCTTTTGAAGGTAGAAAGTTTCCATTTGAGCGCATGAATTCTAAGCTAGTGTGTATGGCTCCGTGGTAATACCGCAGTCGTGTTCACAGTTCAAGAGCGCGACTTTGACTCTTTATAGCCTGAGATAATTTTCAAAATTTGCCTTTGATTACTATAAGAGGAAACACGTACGTGCGGAGGCTGGGCGGGTCACTACCGGTGCCGTCGGTAACGTGCAGGGTTGCAAACTAAAGCCAAAGCTGTCATCAACCGATGGTATCGGAGAGTCACAACTTTCAGGTTGTTTGACAAAATGTCACCAGAAACCACTCTGCTAAGTTTTTTTTCTGAACGCCAGACTGGTGTAAGCTAGTTACCATACCAGTCTACCTCTGTAGAAGCTTCTGTGAACTGTACAACTTCACGCTGTTCTAGACCAAATCCATATTAGAAACTTTCAAGAGCATGTCATTTTTAAAACAATGATAATGTACATGTATATAACTGATAAAAAGATACAAATATTTATACTTGAAAATAAGTTTTATTGTATAAATGATATTGTCAGATCAATAACAACACTGGTCCCCAAGAAGATACTCCATTAAATTGTTCCCTTCTTGCCCCATATTAATATCCTAAGATTTGTTTATTAGTTTTCAAAAAGCAGTTCTTTTTCCTCTTAAAATAATTCTCCATCCTCACCTATATAACTGTAAAACCTGTAATGTCAATGCACATTTCTTTTAAATGTTTTATTCCTGCCCCTATGAAACCCTGCCCATTACAGATAATATCAAAAAAATTAATAAAAAGTAGAAAATAAAAGCTAAAATATAGCACCAAGTAGATGATAGAAATACCAAAACATGTAAAAACCTCAACCTCAAGCACACACATATACATATATTATCACAATAATAAAGATTTAGTATTTGGTAAATTGATGGTGAGATACATTGCAGGACCATAAAATACCTTTTTATAGTCACTAATTTTTTATGCTCTTTTAAAATCTTAAGTTTGTCTTTGTCACAAAAGATATATGCAGTAAAAGAGAGGTTTACAAATATTTAAAATCCTTTCAAAAATAATTGTATTTCTTAAGAGTTGAACTTCAAGGGTCGTAGTCATGCAAACTCCTTATTCCCAGGAACAGAGCCAAATAAATGTTTGGCAAAATGATAATTTGGTTCCTTCAACAGATCAATGCATCCACACACATTTGTAGGGATTTGAACTTGGGGCTGGTAAACACCTCCCCAGCTTTTCACATCCTATGGGTTTCCAGTTCTGAAATGGAAAGTATCAGGAAAATTGTTAATTTATAAACAGCTATATCCTTGATATTCTAACTTAAATATTATGAAAATTTTCATGAAAATGAGCCATAAAAGTCTGCCCTTGCCCCTAAAATGAGTCTTGGTGATGCAGACCGAGATATTTGTGAATCAAATTTCACCAATTATGGATATGTTGCAAAAACCAAGATTAATTGATATATAATTTCAACATTATTTTGGAAAAAAAAAACTGCCACTTTTATAACCAGTTGATCTGTGAACTAACTAGTAAAAATTATCCAAATGTAATAAAACACTATCAAGTCAGTCAATTTGATGAGAAAATGCCTGCAATTCAAACTAGAACTGACCATTACTCCCGTGTCACACCAGTTCAACTGAGGCTGCCCGGGGGTCAAGTTGGTCTTATGATCCCTGACCACCTTGCTTATCTTCTTCATTGCACTGTGATACTCTATGGAATCAGGACTGAAACAAGAGGAGATAGATGAATATGAATGGGTATTGGGATAGGTGAGAGAATTTTAGCAGGTATTTTAATATTATTTATTGTTAAAACATGTGTTAGTTGAGACAGCTACGCAAATGTTAGGCTGTACTGAAGGGTATTTTGCAGTACTGAGAAGATGTAACATGTCACCTTCGATCTGCGCCAGTGGGTGGGCAACAAGTCACCGCAGGTCTTTTTGGAGAAGGGCAAGGGGTAATCAACATTTAAATGTTTATTTTAGCTTTAAAAGATCCTTACTCCATGACAACTGATTGAACGCTGCCAACCTTATTGGATATCTCTCCCCTAGATCTCTCCCAACATGGAACAGAAGGGGCTGAGACGTGTGATTTCTCTGATCATGGGTTGTAACATTGATGACATTTTCTCCTCTACAAAAATCTATACCCTGAAAGTACACAAAATAAATTTTTAATTTGTCAAATTCTGAAAACAAATTAATAAGAGATCATCCACATTTAAAATCACAAGGTAGCAAGAATAAATCCAGGCTAGTTATTACATGTATGGCATAGCATTAACAGTACAATAACATCACATAAGTATGCAGAATTAGACTGTTTAAGAAAATGTGAAAATAATTGTCAACTTTTCGATCAACAGTATCCTCTATTCATACAAACTATTCTCATAAAATCTAGACTTGTACAGTCAATACAAAATAATTAAAAGTTATAGCCAACTTTTGAAATGAAACAAGCTAATACAATAAGAAAGCAAAACTTTTATATAATATCAATGTGTGTAGTCAATAATAAAATAGGGTTATATAGCTCAGTTACACATTAACAGTAAATATGAGTTCTTCACACATTAAGGTTTAGACTGCCATTAATTGAAATTGTCTAAAAAAATGGCATGGGATCTGACCCCCCCCCCCCCCCCCACCCTTTTTCATTGCAGATCTGCACTGATCTCAAAATCTGCCAACAGCCTGGAAAAACTCATCCCTGGACATTTCTCTGTTACAAGGATGCATCCAAGTTGCTCACCTGCCTGAGTTCCTGCAGTCCATTGGTCCACGTCCAGTAATGAGCTTTGTACATGCCCAGTCTGACTGCCATCATCTCATTACCACGGTAATAAAATATTGGCCTGAAATATGATACATTTTGTACATGTCCAGTCTGACTGCCATCATCTCATTACCACGGTAATAAAATATTGGCCTGAAATATGATACATTTTGTACATGCCCAGTCTGACTGCCATCATCTCATTACCACGGTAATAAAATATTGGCCTGAAAAATGTGGATAGTCTCATACATATCTTCAAGCAATCATCTCCAACTCTAAGCAAGAATCTCTATAGGACTCTTTGAGACTCACTTAATTCTCTATGGGAATTCTATCTGAATCTACTTAATGCCAACAGTCAGAAAGAGTTGGATCCATCCACGTACTGATTGATCCGATAGACTAATGGTGTCAACAGAAATGGGGGGGGGGGGGGGGGTTAAACTACTCCCCCCCCCCCTAAAAAAATTACCTGTCTATGTTCTTGCCATTCAGCAGTGTGTCAGAGAGGTCAATGCCATCAATGGCCCTGTCTCTAGGGAGAGTGATGTCAGCCAGGCTCAACAGAGTAGGGAACATATCCATGAGTGACCCTAGCTGATATGATACCTGAAATATACCTGATAATGGATTTATGTAATCAACACCCTTTTTATAAATTCTAAAAGTTTAAAGTGAAACTGCCTACAGAACCAATACAAACAGTAACCTTGCTGCAAGAAAGAAGAAACATCTTTCACTATCAACAGATACATTACAAGGCATAACAACTCTTCATACAGTATGAGATACAAAATTCAACAATAAATACATTGTAAACAACACACAGAAATATAATAAATTCCATTTTACCACCAAAACAGCAATTTTCACAACGATTCCAAAATCTGTGCTTGCTATAAGACCATATGGACCTCCACATATGGCTTCCTTTCATAATAATCTCTTTAGGTTATTACAAAAACTCACTTTTAAAAAATCCACTTATTTTGAATCTCAGAATGGATCTACTGTAAAATACTGGAAAAAGGTTGTTTTCCCGAGAAATATCAGTAATACAGCACTTTTTTGGAAAAACTGAAGAGCTGTTATCCCTTACAGATTATCCATTTTAAAATTCAGTAGATTTAACGCCACAAAAACATCACTTCTCTTTCTTCATTCAGGGCTGATAAATCTATGTCACTACCAAAAGTGCCAGACTTATTTATTCATTGAATATTTAGCTTAAATTTAGACACTTTCCCTGCCAAATGTGCTTCAAGAATCAATTTCAGAGTCATACCTGTCTGGGTTTGATATGTTTGGGCCACCATGCGATGGTTGGCTCTCTCATTCCACCTTCAAATGTCGTCTGCTTTCCACACAAAAAGGGACCATTGCTGCCACCTATAGTTACAATGTATGTAAATATTTGATAAAAACGTTGAAAAATAAACAGTATCGAGAGCAAAGTTCCCAAACGGGTTGGGCAGGGATGTGGAGGTGGTCTAAATTAGGTGCAATTCAACAACTTTACTAGAGGATCAAAAAGGCGAAACCGCCACCAGGTAGTGTACCACCAACGAAATTTAGTGCATTTAAGTTCAATGGAAACCATGGGTGAATTTCTTCTAGATATAAAGCTAGATAAAAACTAGCCTTCCTTACCTTTGTCTTTAGAGACCATAGCACCTCCATTGTCAGAGGAGAAAACAACAAGAGTGTTGTCATCCACTTTATGTGTCTTCAGTGCATCAAGAATCTGTCCAACTGCCGAGTCTAATTCCTTAACTGCATCTCCATACCTGAAATATAATAGCATTATAGTGATGCTAAAAAAAACATAATATCTCTTGAAATCAATTTTTGAATTTGACATTTGCAACACTCGAACAGATGATATCCAGAACCACTTACGGTCCACACATACCAGTGTCCAGGAATACTTACAGTCCTCTCCTACTTGTCCCCAAGAAAGGCTTACTGGCATACACTGGACCATGGGTGGCATCTATGGCCCAGTAAAGAAAAAATGGCTTCTGACTCTGAGCTTGTCTTTCTATAAAGTCCACAGCTTGCTGAAAATTGTAACAACAATTTTATTTCAGGGATAAAGAGTCCTACAGCTAGTTTTCAAAAAAAAAAAAAAAAAAAAAAAAACCAAGAGATGTGTACACCACAGCTTTCTTCATGCAGAGAGCCATCCAACCATCATTTGGATGGCCATTAGCATCAAAGGACTTCTTGTACTTCTAAAGATGGCTGGACAGCTTACAAAATTTTAATTTTGGTTGGGCTTATTGCTTGGGTTGGACTACCTGTAAATTGATGACCAAATTACAACTTTGCATTTTGGATCTCTGTGTTCCAAATCTTTGTTAAATACCTCATTGACTTCATCTTAGTGGCAAAAATTACAAACAAAAACCTGAACTTTCTACTGGTAAATGCACAGACTAACTGTAAATGTGCAGTTTTTAAGGAGATAGAAACAAAGCTTTAAAAGAATATTACACACCTTGACAAGATCAGACCTAAACTTACTAAAAGAGAGAAAGAGAGAGAGAGAAACTGGTTCAGAAGATAAAATTTCCACAAAACCCTGTGCCTTTACCTGTGTAAATATCTGTGTCAGGTTAGATTCTCCAGTCTCTCTGTGGATTTGAAAATCTTCATAATATCTATTAATTAATAAATAAAATAAATAAGCCATAAAATGAATGCTTTACCTAAGGCAGAAAATATACAGGAAATGAATGGTCTCCCCCAGTGTCAAGTCCGTATATGAGCACTCAGTATAAATATTATACAGTACCTCTGTGAGTGAGAGTATTAGGAACCATGCACTTTGTTGACCAGATAGTGAGCAGAGACAATTGCTGAATGTAATCAGAATTACACGCATCCTCTCATTTCCAACATATACTCATATAATCACCAGTTTTTCTGTATTCTACTCAGCACCAGGCTACATGTCAATCTGATTGCATTCAGCAAGAGTCCCCATGGATTGTTCAGTATGTGTTCAGTATGACTGCAAATTTAGCTGTTTGACAAAATTCAATGTGAACAGCCCGCAAGGCCCTTTTCACTTTCAGTGCTACACTTCAGAAGTATGGCTTTTACAGTTCTTGTTATTATTTCCATACAACAGTAAATTGTTTAATACCCCTCTCTCTGATATAACTTCCAGCCTTTATTCACCTACCTACTAAACAAGACAGAACAATGATTGCTTAACCCCCCTCCTTGATATGCCCCCCCCCCCCCCCGTGTACACCTACCTCCCAACCGTGTCCCTGATATACACCTACCTCCCAACCGTGTCCCTGATATACACCTACCTCCCAACCATGTCCCTGATATACACCTACCTCCCAACCGTGTCCCTGATATACACCTACCTCCCAACCGTGTCCCTGATATACACCTACCTCCCAACCATGTCCCTGATATACACCTACCTCCCAACCGTGTCCCTGATATACACCTACCTTCCGACCATGTCCCTAATATACACCTACCTCCCAACCATGTCCATGCCATTGTAGACTGGGATATTGGGCCTCTGTTTGTTATCATAGGGACCAAAGTGGCAGTTTGGGGCACCAAACCACTCATCAAAGCCATGTTTGAGTGGGTGAAACTGAGGCCTGTGACCCAAATGCCTGGAATATATAGGTTAATATACTGGTATAATAGGAAGAAAATGGAGATTTAAGACGTGTTTGTGTTACAGGGAAACCAGAGCATCCCTGAAGGAGCTCAGTCTTAAATATATATGGATTTTATGCACACAAATGACATACAAGTTATACATTGTTGTCTATAATATACAGTGCTGATATACATTGTTGTCTATAATATACAGTGCTGATATACATTGTTGTCTATAATATACAGTGCTGATATACATTGTTGTCTATAATATAGTGCTGATATACATTGTTGTCTATAATATACAGTGCTGATATACATTGTTGTCTATAATATACAGTGCTGATATACATTGTTGTCTATAATATACAGTGCTGATATACATTGTTGTCTATAATATACAGTACAGTACAGTATATTAGTAAAGAACGGATTTTATTGCAAGGATAGGGACATAATTTTCATAATAATAATGATAATTATAATAATAATAATAACAATGATGGTATGGAGACCAACAACAAAAGACATTCCTTCAGTTAAACAAATCAGCAAACATCAAGTTTATGATTTAATTAATTGTGCTTTATCTTGTAATTTTCTACAGCTTATATATACACAAACCATTTTCCAATGATTTTATTCCTGTAGCCTGCTTTTTGTAGAAGCTCTGGAAACAAGATTTCTTCATCTGCTATTCCCCCTACTATCTCCTGGGGTGTGTAACCTGGAGAACATTGGATATAAACTCATATCATAGAGAAACATCATACATGGACATGACATTGAAACAATAGAGTTTTTTGGTTTTTTTTTACGTCAGGATGTTGTCTTAATTTTACTATACAATTTTTTTTATCAATATACAATAATGCAATATATAGTCTTTATATTAATCTCAAATAAATTACTGAAATAAATAACTGGGGCTGTACACTAACCACGTGGTATGAAGAGCATGCTTTAAGTAAATAGTAGATTTTTTTTTTTTATTTTGAACATGCCCAACTTTACAAAAACTTCCGTCTTGTCTACTTCTAAATTATAGACAGGTGTTCCTCCTTTTAATTTTTAACCTTACCTCATCTCTCACACAGATCATCCAGTCAAAGAAATAATAAAATATTTACCATTCCTGGCATGAGCGTTAGTTGTGTAGAAACCATTTCTGATTGGAAGACGTCCCGTCAGCAGAGCTGCTCGAGCTGCAATGGAAACATGTTGCTCAATTTTATTTGAAGGCATTTGCTATTTATTATAATATTATAACATTATTATATAATTGATTTATTTATTACAATGTTATAATAAAAACAAATAAAACAACCTGAGAAACACTCAAAGATCATAGATCTTCATTAAGGCAACTCATCATTATAATTGTTGTTGCTGTTGTTACCATAATTGTTGTTGTTGCTGTTATACATGTAGCTAATTTGTTAATGAATTGCAACAAAAATCTAATCAATTGAAAATTACCCCATCTCTGATCCACATGTATCTACTGTACATGTATCCTGAAAATTTTACCAACATCTGGCCATAATCTTTTGAGCTAGGCTGTTAACTAACACACACAATAAGGCAAAAACATAACATTCTTATTTGATGCAATGATCATGAGTCTTGCTAACATATACTTCAACTTTATAAACTTCCCTCTATACCTCAAGGGTAATCACAGAGTGACTCTATATACTTACAGGGTGAGCACAAAGTTACCTCTACTTACAGGGTGAACACAAAGGATTTGCAGAGTAAAAGTCGGTGAGGAGCATTCCTTCAGCAGCCATGTTGTCTAAATTTGGAGTTTCTTTCGACGGCTCACCAAACACTCCCAGGTCTCCCCAGCCCATCTACAATACAGAAACTCCATATGTCACAACTAACACAATAATGCATTTCTTTGGAACAATTAACACAGTATAAAATGCACATCTTGGACAATCACATAAAACAAAGGAATATAACATTTATAGCTTTATTATACTTCTTAAACAATGTAGAATAATGCAAAGAGCAAAAGCTTTTGCTAAAATAAATATTTACGACTGGGATTGCCATGCATTTGTGAGTGAGCATGAGGGCGCACGTGCCTTGATGCATGCATGTACGTACACGAAGACATGCAAGTGACAATTAGTGTGCATTATAGTGTGTGATGTATATAAACATACATATTTTATCATATTTCAACAATCACATGTGACATCCTTAAAGCTGGGATTACAACACCTGTAGTTGTACATCATGCAAATGCAAATATAACAGTCATTTGGAACAGCTGAGCTTTCTTATAATTATAATCAATTTATTTATTTATTTGCTTATCATACTTTAAATAGTAAATTTTACTGGTAGTCTGAAGCCATCTACTTGGCATAATTATTATCTTTCAAAGATCTAACACTACATATATTATATTATATTATATTATATTATATTATATTATATTATATTATATTATATTAAATCTGCCTAGGTTCAATTTACACGTTCCTCATCAACCAATTAAGGTCTCAATCACAACACACGTATACAGTCTGCTTTCAGTCACCCCCAATCAGTTTGTCTTCATCCATCACATACACAATCCATATATATATATATATATATATATATATATATATATATATATATATATATATATATATACTTATGTGCACAGATTATATATATAATGCTGGGTTAATACAATATATATAATAACATACACATTAATCCATATACGTGCATATGTACAGTGAGTGATTGTAATGCTGGGTTAATACAGTATATAAGGACATACACAAAATGATAATAATTGGTGATAATAATTAGGTGACATCTCTTACTCGATCTGAGATTACCTAAATTTAAAACGCTAATAAAATAATATGTTCAACGGTACGGACATTATTTAACACTGCATGTGTACCACTGGTACGTTTCTTTGAAAACAGACATGAAGCCACTCACATCATCCATCAGCATGATAATGAAGTTCGGGGTTGATCCACATGCTGACGACTGGAAAGTTCCCAGAATTAGCAGCACTGGAAGGTGCCATTTCTTCGGCAGCATCCTCACTTCTCCTCCTTCCAGAGAGGATGTATCTGTACCAGAGATGTGCCATGTCAGGACACAAGATGGCCACCGTATGTCATCCAAGGCCACAAAGAGAAATTAATGCCATTTCAAGTCAATTAGTAAAATGCATTCATACACATTCTTACATGTGTGTACAATGTACAAAACTCTGTCATTGGCGGGTCGAAGATTGCGCTCGTGTGTGTGTGTGTGTGTGTGTGTGCGTGCGTGCGTGCGTGTGTGTGTGTGTGTGTGTGTGGCAAATAATATATAGGCCTAATATATAGGCCCCATATCTGATTTTCTTTTCTCGACAATCGTGATAAATCTGAGACGCAAATGCATTGTGAAAATTGCACTCCAAATGTATTTTAGAATGATGAATCGTCACGTATGTATGACTGTTTAAAAATTCCCGAAAAGTCTCGCTTCTTTATCCACCAATAATATTCGTTTTTTGTTAATCTTCCAAACGATGTACGTAGGCCTGCACATTTATCATGTGACACTAACATGTACATGTACCTAATAAACGCAGTCATCATAAATATATATGTTTTTTAATCATGAATTTGCGCACCATCCACGCTGACACCGTCAAATTTAGGTAGGTTTTGATTTTTTCTGTGAGGTGTGTGATGAAGTTGTTGTATTTATACAGGTATTTTGCTGTTACGCGTACAGTCAATATCCCGGCCAGTACAGCTGCAGTATAATCTTTCTTGTCATTTATTAACTACTTTAATTTCCGCTTTCTTTCCTTTGCTATCTCTACCTCATTCAATATCTAGCTGCCTGCTCTTGTTTACATTACACGCGGTTGTATAAGTATCATAAGAGCATGTCAAACAACTCAGTTACACTACAAAACAATCCCCGCTCCTAACTCACTCATGACTGTCAAGTATTAACATTACACATAGACCAGTGTCTGTCGTTAGCTGTACTAAAACCCTGCATAATCAGCTGACCGTGTGACACAAAACAGATTAAAAATAATATATATATCAAGTGAATTCCGCCCCATATATACATATATATATCTTCAGGTATGACAGTTGAACATTAAAAATACTACAATAATCGTATTGTTTTAACCTTTTTGGTTACTTATGTAATTATTATAAGAGAGTTAATAATATTAACATATTNAATCTCTGAATCTAATTTCAGTAGCTTTGTTGGAACTTGTTCTCATAACTGGATCTCTCATTGTGACGGTTACAATTTTCGGGTATTTCTGAAATCTAAATAATTCTGTCGATATCATATTATACATATATTAACAAATTGTTTGTGTGGATTTTTTTTATACACAGCTGTGGTAGTAACATACATGTAGGTTGATTGAATGTGTTCTGAGTAGTATGACTTCCTTACCAGCATTAGGGTATTCCCTACTCAGCAAGTCAGCTAATTATTCTTATTGAAGTTAGCAGGATGCTATCTCAACATAAATCAAAATATTTTTACTCAAAGTAATTTTGTAATGTACTTTTTTCATTTAGTGTGGCAAATAAAAAGAGAAATATTTCTGCAAGTGGAAACTGACAATGTCTAAATACCGGTGTAATGTTGTTCTTAAAATCTGTGCTTGGTTATTTCATGCAATAAAAGTATTATTACCAAATACTTATTACATTAGATCATTATAAAATACTTGTCTTAAATCCTGGGAGTAGTATGGGTGTGATAAAGCCTCTACAGCCTTTTATAATAAGGATCCCTGTACAGAGCACAATGGGGTCATAGATGACCCCACTTGGTCATTTCAGTCAGTAAAATAGCTTGGTCTCTTGAGGGTTAATTTCCGCTTTCTTTCCTTTGCTATCTCTACCTCATTCAATATCTAGCTGCCTGCTCTTGTTTACATTACACGCGGTTGTATAAGTATCATAAGAGCATGTCAAACAACTCAGTTACACTACAAAACAATCCCCGCTCCTAACTCACTCATGACTGTCAAGTATTAACATTACACATAGACCAGTGTCTGTCGTTAGCTGTACTAAAACCCTGCATAATCAGCTGACCGTGTGACACAAAACAGATTAAAAATAATATATATATCAAGTGAATTCCGCCCCATATATACATATATATATCTTCAGGTATGACAGTTGAACATTAAAAATACTACAATAATCGTATTGTTTTAACCTTTTTGGTTACTTATGTAATTATTATTAGAGAGTTAATAATATTAACATATTATACATCAGGGCCGTAGCCTCCGGGGGGGCAGGGGGGGGAGCTGAATTTTCCACACTGGTATTGGGACAC